CCTGTTGTCTCCTGCTATGGTACTCTGCTCACGCGAGTGGGCTGAGCGTACCTGGGGGCCGCGACATGGTTCCAGCTTGCTGCAAGTCCATACAAACCATCAGGGGCCCTGTTAAAGAAGCAGGCTGGGTCTTAGACTCCGCACCCTGGGGAACCCCGAGTTTGTGATCTCTATCTCACTACCACAGACGCGTGACACTGGTAGCCAGTGGCCTTACACACTGGGGGTCAGTGTGCCCCTGTATACTGCTGGTGAGGACATTTTTCTAAAAGAATAGATGCAGTATCTCAACCACGCTCCCACCACAATACAAATGACTCCCTTTCCCTAACTGAGGGGGAGGCATGCCGCATCAAATGGTGGTTCTGCCCAATCTGTACCAACAGTGAAAAGGTCTTAATAGGGCATTGTTAAAAACCAGGAGTGCAGGGTTCAGGATTGTGCTGTGCATAGAGTGAAGGGTTGAGGAGTGTGCAGTGTGCTACTTACAGAATGCGGGGTTGAGGAGCATGCTATATGCACAGTGCATATTTCAGAAGTACGCTACATACAGGGTGCAGAGTTCAGAAGGATGCTACATACAGAGTGCAGGGTTTAGGAGGATTCTATTTACAGAGTGCAGGGTTGAGGATCATGCTACATACAGAGTTCAGAAGGATGCTACGTACAGAGTGCAGGGTTCAGGAGGATGCTACGTACATATAATTCCATATACGTGTAGCATATGTATAGCAGAGCCATACAAAGCAATGTGCTTACAGTTGAAAGCACAGACACAGGTTACTGTGAAACAGCACTCAGCAGACAGTTAACCCTTTGATCACCCCACATGTTAACTCATTCCTGCCCTGTGCCAATAGTACAGTGTCACTGCTTTTTATTAGCACTCATCACTGTATTGGTGTCACTGGGGATGTCAGTGACACCAAGTCAGTGCCCCCCAGTGTCAGTTCCTCTATAAGTCACTGATCATCGCTATTACTAGTAAAAAAAAAAAATTCCAGTATACCACCATTTGTAAACGCTATAACTTTCACAAAAACCAATTAATTTACACGTATTTGGATTTTTTTTTTAGCAAAGACATGTAGCAGAATACATTTTAGCCTAAATTTATGATGAAAATTGATTTCTACTGGATATATTTAATAGCAAAAAGTCAAAAATGTTGTTTTCTCAAAATTGTCGGTCTTGTTTTTTTTTTTCATAGTGCAAAAAATAAAAAACACACAGGCAATCAAATACCACCAAAAAAAAAAAAAGCTCTATTCATGGGAAAAAAATTTCATTTGGGTGCAGCATTGCATGACTGCGCAATTGTCAGTTAAAGTAATGCAGCGCGATAACTGGTCAGGAAGGGGGTAAATCCTCTGGAGGGCAAGTGGTTAAAGTGGTTGTAAGGGCTGAAGGCTTCTGTGCAGCAGTGCCCCCAGCCCCCTCAATACTTACCTGAGCCTCATTGTGATCCAGCGATGTGAATGACAGCCTCTGCTGCCCCAGGTCTCTGCCTCCTCAGTGGCTGAGACAGCAAGTGGGAGCTACTGGCTCCTGCTGCTGTCAATCACAGCCAGTCAGCCAATGAAGAGAGGGGGGGCAAGCCGCCCCTCCCTGTGTGAATGGACACACAGAGCAGCGAGTGTCCCCATAGCAAGCTGCTTGCTGTCGGGGCACCCGTCAGAAAGGAGGAGCCAGGTAGAGGACCCAAGAAGAGGAGGATCCATGCTGCTCTGTGCATAACAACTGTACACAGTAGGTAAGTATAGACATGTTTGTTAGTTTACAAAAAAAAATGTACCTTTAGAATTGCTTTAATAACTTCCAATACGTGCAGGTGGTATTCTAGAAACTGACAGAATATTATTCAGAATTGTATTTCATATCCAAGGTGTGACGGGAGTCACTTTGGGTGGGGGGTTCATGGAACCCAGCTTACTTTGCAAAGGTTGGGAGACCCTTTTCTCAGCTCCCCATATATCTCTTATGTGCAAGTCACCCTGTGTCTCTTAGGGACACAGGGTGACTAATGGACACTGAGAATGCGGTTGGAATTCCTTCAAATGGGACAGTAATATTTATCAGCCATATGAAGACTATTTCTGGTTAATGATTCTGAACTAGACATGTGAATTGAAAGAGCTGATCACGCTGGCCTCTCCTCTACTCCAGTGTAGGAGCCGGACCGTCTGCTCTGTAGTGAGATCCTATTTCATCAAATCATTGTCTAAGTGTGAATTCCCATTCACCTTTTGTTTTGGTCACCCAGCTAGCTAACCTAATTAACTTACTGTTTAGAGTGTTAAGTCTATTTCTGTATATAGCTGCGTTTGCATATGATCATGTGATCAGTCTCAGTGTGTATCATATAAAAAGCCTGTTTGAGTTTATAATAAAGAGTTCCATGTTCAGACAGATTGGTGTCGTCTAGTCGTGTATGGTCGGCTGTGGTGTCTATTGTCGGTGGTCGGACGGGGAAGCGGTATTCTAATGGAAGTACTCAAGCGCAGTCTGGGTCGGTTCCATTACACAGGGATACCAAACACAGCATACCTTTGTCACTCAGGAGGGAAGAGACTGCTTTCTCTCCTTTCGTATGTCCTACCATATGACCGTGATTGGTTCGGTATGATATTCCCCATTCAAATATATACCTAATAATATTGTGTCCTGTTCCTGTTGAATTCCATGAATTGTAGTTGTGGAATAGACGTTTTATGGCACTCTCTGCATTCCTAGAGCTTTAATGGCCTTTCACATCATGTGTGAAAGGCTTGACTGAGTTATTATGGTTTTACGATAGGGCAGAGGGAAGAGTTTGTCATGGTTCTTGGAAACAGACATCCTGCCAAGACTAATTAGCTGCTCACAGCTGGCACTCAGGCCTGGACTCTGGCATGTGTTTTAGTGGAGATAAGACGCTCTTTTGAAGTTTGTTAAAAATTACAGGTACAAATTCCACGAGTTTGCTCATGAAAACAAAATGGCTCAGACCTTAACAAGATGGCTGTCGCCTACAGCTTCCATGTCCCTATTGTGCACCATTGTTACAGTCCTCTCTCAGAGGGTCAGTGAGTCCTGAGTTTTCCTCCTTTCCAGCTCGAGGCTCGCAGGCAGGCCGCATCCCACTAGGCCTCCTGGCAGCCTTCCACCTCAACCCCACATCTTCCTGCTCCTTCTTCCACCTGACTCTCTCCTGCTGCTGAGCCGGCGCCAACACTTTTTCAGGGAGTCCAGCCCCTTGTCAAGCCTCCTCTTGGGGATTGGCTGAGGTCCCACAAAAGTGCAGCCAACCACTCCTTCTGGATTATAGGTGTGGGGCTATGCAGATGGAAGCATGAATATTTATGCACCCTGGCCAATTACAGGGAGTTGGGCCCTGAAGTATGGTGGGTAACTGTATATATTCAGTGGCATCACCAGGGTTGGTGTCACCTGGTGCAGAAAAACATGGTATCAAACCCCCCCACAATAATTTTTTTTTCACAGATAACACTGCATACAATTGTAAAAGTAATGCTGTTAATCCTCCCAGTTTAAATACCCTTAGTGTAAATCCCTCCCCCACGTGTAATCCCCCCAGTGTGAATCTCCACAGTGTAATCCCCCCATGTAATCTTCCTAATGTAAACCCCCACAGTGTATCCCCCCCATGTAAACCCCCCAAGTGTAATCCCCCCAGTGTAAATCCCCCCCAGTGTAATTCTTCCCTAGTGTAACCCCCCCCATGTAATCCTCCAGTGTAATCCCACCCATGTAATCCCCCAAGTGTAATCCCCCCATGTAAATCCCACAAGTGTAATCCCCCCAGTGTAAATCTCCCTAGTGTAGTTTGCGCCCTCCTGTTTAATACCCCCCAGTGTAATCCTCCAGTGTATCCCCCCCCCCACATGTAATCCCCCCTGTGTATTCCCCCATGTAAATCACCCAAGTGCAATCCCCCCAATGTTTAATACCCCCTGTGTAATCCCCCCTAGTGTAATCCTCCTAATGTAATTCCCCCAGTGCAATCCCCCAAGTGTAATGTTCAATCTATCCAATGTAAAGACCCCAATGCAATCCCCCCAGTGCAAATCTTCTTCCCAATGTAACTCTGCTCACCTGTTCAGTTTACATCTCTCCCATTACAGACCTCAGATCAAACTTGCTCTCCAGACAGATGTTCTTCTGCGTAGTCTCCTCTTCCTCCTTCTCTTCAGAATGTAACATCAGAGTGGAGGAGGAGCATAGGTTAGGTATGCAGCACTGAGCAGCCAGCACCTGTCCTGCTTGTGGCTGCCTGTCACACACAATAATGGAGCGAGTGGTTCATTGCGGTGCCGGTCTGGATATGTGGGGCAGCGCAGCACAGATGTCCAGACTAGCAAACTCTGCCTGGGCCCCCACATCTGTATAGGCCGTCCCTCTCTCATTGCGGCGCTGAGTGTCACCGCTTTTGCTCATATGAGTTTTTTTAGCTTTTTTTGAGACAGATAAAGCTTTATTTTGGTGGTATTTCACCACTGGGATTTTTTATTTTTTTTGCTATATAAATGAAAAAGTCCAAAAATGTTGAAAAAAAGTGTTTTCTGATACAGTTTTGCAAATAAATAATCTTTCTTCATAAATCTTAATTTATTCAGTTATCATTTTAGTTAGAAAAAAATAACCCAAATTAGTTTATAACTAAAAGCTATAATTTTTCTAAAAAATTTTTACATTTCTATTATATTAATTTTATATTATTATTTACATACTGTCACCCTAGCAGTACAGAGTCACCATAGTGACACTGTACTACTTGTGGGGGGTGATGAAGATTTTTCTTTTTTGTTTTTTTACACTGATTGCTTTTACACCCATAAAGGCTGTAAAATCAATAATTTCTCCTTCTCTCTGGCTGCATTATTACAGCTATTGAGAAATACTGTGTGAGCTGTGATTGGTCACAGCTTGTCACATGGTACAAGGCTGTTGTGAATAGCTATGTACCATGTGATCTCTGTGATCATGCAGAGATTTCACAGGTAGTAAGTAATGATGTCAGAAGTGACATCTTGCTTACTACTCTGCATGTGGTCACTGACTGGCCAATCAGTGATCACATGATCGGGACCTCACACAGAGGTCCCGTACAACGATCAGTGTTCCACTGTGTCCGGAGGCGGGCGCCGGACTGCGGTGCTGTGCACTCCCAGGGAGCACACACAAGCAGGGTGCGGCCACCCACCCCTGCACTGCTCCCGTCTAGCCATTTTACATGGGCCGGATGGGAAGTGGTTAAGAGTTCCCTTCACTCGAACTAAGGGGCCAAAGCCCAACCCATGAAAAACAACCCAAACTATAATCCCCCCACCACCAAACTTTACACTTGGCACAATGCAGTCAGGCAAGTACTGTTCTCCTGGCAACCATTAAACCCAGACACGTCCATCGGATTGCCAGACAGAGCAGCATGAATTTCCAGAGAATTGGCGTGCTTTACATCACTGCATCCGATGCTTTGCATTGCACTTGGTGGTATAAGGCTTGGATGCAGCTGCTCGGCCATGGAAACCCATTCCATGAAGCTCTCTACGCACTGTTGTGCTAATCTGAAGGCCACATGAAGTTTGGAGGTGTTTAAACTATTGACTCTGCAGACAGTTGGCGACTTCTGCGCACTGTGCGCTTCAGCATGCGCTGACTCCACTCTGTCATTTTATGTGGCCTAGTCGCGCACCAAAATAAAAATTCTGGTGCCAAAATCAAAACTTTGTGATGCACTTGGCTGAAAACCGAAACGGAACGTTTTTAACATTTTTTTAAATAATTTGTCTGGCATTTTTGCGTTGAAGTCACTAGGGGGGCGTTTTTTTTTGCATCGAAGCCGAATACAGAAACCGAAACAGACAGTTTTTAAACTTTTTTTTTATTAATGTGGCTGACATTTTTGCATTGAAGTTATTAAGGGGGCGTTTTTGCATTGAAGTCACTAGGGAGAGTTTTTTTTTCATTAAAGTCTATGGGATCTAGACTTTGCATGAAGGGAGAGATGGGGGAGGGGGCTGATCATGGCGCCATGAGCAGCGTGTGCTTCAGGCGCCCGCCGTGCTGAATGACATTTCCCCCCCCCCACTGCCTTGACTGCCCTGTACCCACTAGTGGGGCGACTTAGTGGTCGGATAGCCCTGGTGGTAGCCGGCGGGAATGGAGGACTTTCCCTGGAGCCGGGTCCTCCGAGAGCAGAAGGAGAAGACCTGGGTAACCCAGGTGACAGAGGAGCTCCCCGACAAGAGGGAAATCTTAAAGGTCCAGGAGAGCAGGGAGGCTGCATGGACGAAGATTGTATCATGCTCAGGAAGGACACCCCCCTAGGATGAGACACCAAAAACAACAATTTTAGAGACCCCCTGGACCACTTGCAAGTTATAAGAGTCCCCCCACGGGCGCTCCAAGAGCTTGACGCGGTGGCCCTGACAGGAGTCTAGAGGCGGATGGAGATCGATCGGTCCTGAACGGTCGGGTCAGAGGGTGATGCTGACTGGCTGTTGGTGACAACAGGACTTTCAGTCAGTTGTTATATTTTTTGCTTATATGACAAATCAAATTTAAACGCATCTGTGCAGGAGGGGGGTGACAGAGGACTATTGCTAGAGAGACTTTTTCCACAGGGGTTCTCTTAGATTGACGGTGTAATGGTTTAGCTCACTCTGGCACCCAAGTAAACTTGGCAGAAATCATGAAAAGTGAAAGTAAAGGGGATTTCCTTGGGGGGGGGGGGGGTGATCCTATTGCATTATAATAGAGAAATCAGTGTGGTGAGGCCCAGGTGATTACTTAGCTGTCACAAGAAGCCTGAGATACCAAGATGAGTAACAAGAGAGATGAACCAGGAATGAGGGGCAAATCAACTAAAGGAGGGGGTGTGAAAACTCCCCAATCAAATGTGAAGGCTACTGCAATTAAAAACTTTATGCCCCTTCAGGAGAAAAGCCCAGAGACGCAAATCCAGGAAAACAACAAGGTCTCAGAAGTTCAATGGAGACCATTCCAGACTGTCGTCAGGGTCCCAAGATGGGAACTTGACTAACGAATTGATAAGTGTGGAAAGTATCATGGAACAGAGTGATATGGACAACAAGGAACCATATCACAAATACCTTCAAAAATCGACATGGCGGAAATGTTTGCAAAAATGTGCCTGAAAAATTAGTTGGGGATATTACGTAATGACCTGGGTTGGATACTAACTAGAGTGGAAGAGGTAGAAGAGAGATTAGAAACACATACCCAATTAATCAACAAATTGGAAACAAGTAGAGGAGATATGAGGTAAACAGAGAAAGCTCTCATATAAGTTAGAGGACCAGGAGAACATTGATAGAAGAAAGAACTTAAGGATTCGGGGCCTACCAGAAGATCAGGCAGAAGATCTAGAGGAGAAAATAAGTGTGTGTACCCAAAAATTGGGTAGACCAGTATCAAAAAACCCCCAAATTGAGAGAGCACACAGAATTAGAAGGCCTTTTGGAATACCGGGGGACAGCCCCAGAGATGTGATAGTACGATTTCACCATTATGCAGACAGAGACTATGGAAAAGTATACGGGACATTACTGAAATAAAATATGAGGAAAAAAAGCTGCATAACTTTGCTGACATCTCACCAGAGACACTGGCAAGAAGAAGAACTTTGAAACCGTTATTGGAACAAAAGAGAGAGAAACAAATTTGATACAATTGGGGTTTTTCTGCATGTTTGATTGGTCGGAAAGATGGTAAATCAGCAAGACTGAGGTTTCCTGAAGACTTCGGTGATTTCTGCAAAAAAATAGACTTACAAAAAATAGAACTTGAAGGATGGTTAGAGGGTCTTCATGTGAATGATGGGAGGGGGGCAGGAAAATGGCAGTGGGTTAACTAGGAAGAAGAAGTAGGGTGTTCGGGCATGGCGGGGGGGGGACGGTATGGAAGATTGGACAATGGGGGAGGTTTGGCGGTAGGGTGTGAGGGGAACCCCCAGCTATAGTCTTGAGGCGGGGGCCCCATTCCTACCTTTGGCCTCCCCTCCTTTTTTTTCCCTCCAACGCCACCTGGCCCTCTTCTAGTTGTGCCTTGAATTCCCTGTCCTTGGTCCCTTCCGGCCTAGGTGTGATGAATGTCGGGAGGATTGGAGGGGTAAAGAAAAACTTGCTCAGTCGGGCAGCCCATAGGTTGGACACACTGTCAAACTCCAATCTAACTAATGTTATGAACTAGGGATTGGAGGGGACTTGCGTGTTCTGAGTCTCACCACAAATTAGGAATCACTAGTGGAAAAATATCCACGATAGATTCCAGAGCAATATGTAGGCCACAAAGGTTCAAGGGGTGCGAAGAGTGGGAGGGGAAAAGGGGGGGATGGTGGAGTTGTTCGGGGGTGGGGGAGGGGGAGGGGAAAAGCGGAGGGAAGGGTGTGGGGGGAGGTCCTGTCTTGGTTTGCTCATCTCTGTGTCCCTGTGTTGGGCAAGTGGATAATATAGAGAAAGAATATCAGAAATGGGATCGATTATTTCATGACTTATGATGTAAAAGGATTAAACTCCCCAATAAAAAAGACATAAGATACTCAAGGAAATATACCAACATTCCATAGATGTAGTGTTTCTACAAGAGACACATATAACTTATGATAAAAATGTGAAACTATATTCGAAGTACTATCCAACATGATATTATGCTGATTCCCAATTAAAAGGGCTAAAGGGGTAGCAATTGGGTTTTCAAAAAATATTAGCTTCACCCTGGAGGGGAGACTGGCGAACCCAGAGGGTCGTTTTTTATTCTTGAAAGGAAGACTACAGGAAACTGAATATACATTAGTTAACATCTATTGTTCGAATAAAAATCCAGTAACATTCCTGGAGGGCACATTAAGAAAAATCTATGAATATAACAGGTAATCTGGTTCTGGCAGGAGACTTTAATTTGTGTCTAGATCCAAATTTGGATGCGTCACCATGTATGTCGCGAGAAGGTGGTAGGATATTAAAATCATTGAAGAAATCACTACATAAAGGTCAACTGACCAACTCTTGGAGAGTAAAACATCCAAGAGAAACAGACTATACCTTCTTCTCTCCAGTACATGGAATGTACTCAATACTGGATTATATTTTGATCAAACATAGACAACTGGAGTTGCTGATTAGCTCCAATATAGAGGTCATGTCTATCTCTGATTATGCTCCTGTCACAATGAGACTTTGGGTTGGAGTGGAGCAGGGCAAAATAACTACTTGGAGACTAAATTAGATGTTTATACAAGATCCTGAAATAGAAAGAAAGATTAGACAGGAATTTGAGCAATTTTTTTAGTTTAATGAGATCAAGAAGGTCTCCGTAGCCACGGTGTGGGAGGCCCATAAGGCATATATCAGGGGAATATTGATAGCGATAAGGGCCAAAAAAAAGAAAGAACAGGGGGAAAATATAAAGAGGGTGACGGAGGAGCTATATAAGTTAGAACAGTTACATAAAACAAGAGAGGTTTTGACATATATCAGATAATCTTTAAAAAATAAGAACTAAAAGATCTTACAGAACAGGAGTTGAGGAAGATATTTAACAGGGTATCAAAAGAGAGATATCAATGGGGGAATAGACCTGGAAAAGTTTTAATGAGGAGGTTAAAGGAAAAGAAATCCAAAAACTTTATAGATAAGATTCAAACTGGTAAAGGAAAACTAGTATATTCCACCACTAACATTGCTAACAGGTTTCAAGAATATTATAGTAGGCTTTATGATGTGAGCCCGAGAAAACAAAAAGAAATAGAGGATGATATGAAGAGAAAAAGGCAGAAATATTTAAAGGAGGTAGATTTGCTAAGATTAGCAGAAGAAAGACTAGAGGCCCTAGAAAGAACTATTACCCCAAGAGAAAATTAATTTTCCCTTAAAGAATACAACCTCAGGAAAGAGCCCTGGTCTGGATGGATATATGGTGGGTTATTTTTAAAAATGTAGAGATCTTTTAATCCCCAAAATGTGGGATGCAAATGAGGGAGGAATCATTACAAGCACATATACCTATTTTACTCAAAGAAGGCAAGGATAGCTCACAGTGTGCTAGCTATATAGACCCATATCCTCATTAAACATTGATACAAAATTGCTAAAGTTTTGGCAACTAGATTGAAGGAGCTGATGCCAGAGTGGATAAACCTGGATCAGGTAGCATTTATTCAGGGAAGAGAGAGGCGGGTCAATGGCCTGAGATCACTGTTCCTCTGACAAAGAGTTAAGGGAGAGAAACTGCC